TGTTCTTTATAAATATTGATACAATAAATACAAAGATGTAAGAAAGTAATAATATAAATCCCTTTCTAAATATTATGTATAATATTGTCAGAAATATTGTATGACATCATAAAGAGCTGAGCGGGCCATGTTACCATGGAAACAGTGCCGAGTGCAAAGCCCAGAGGAAGCTCCGTGGTTAGCTCCTTGGCTATCTCCATGGCTAGCCCCAGGGCTAGCTCCGTGGTTAGCTCCCTGGCTAGCTCCCTGTCTAGCTCCAAGGCTAGCCCCAGGGCTAGCTCCAAGGATAGCTCCAGGGCTAGCTCCAAGGCTAGCCCCAGGGCTAGCTGCGTGGTTAGCTCCAAGGCTAGCTCCAAGGCTAGCCCCAGGGCTAGCTCCAAGGCTAGCTCCATGGCTAGCCCCAGGGCTAGCTCCGTGGTTAGCTCCCTGGCTAGCTCCAGGGCTAGCTCCATGGCTAGCTCCAAGGCTAGCTCCCTGGCTATCTTCCTGTTACTGTCTCTTCCTCTGCAGTGTGCAGTCTCAGTGTCTGGGATCATGAGCGCCCCCTGCCATGAGGCCAGAGAACTGCCTGCCTCACCTCCAGTCTGTTCCCTGGTTTCTGCTCAGCTCAAAACACGTTACACACACAGTTGGAGAGGAAAAGCGCTGAAGGTTATATAGATGAGCTAAATGTTGTCAAATCAGTTGCTATATGAAATATTTTGTCAGCGTTTTAGTGGCGGCGGTCAGACAGGAGGAGCTGCTGAGTAGCAGCAGTGCAGTGGGCCAGAGGTTGATGAATCCAGGTGAGGCTCGACTCAATGCTGCCTCACCTGCTGCTCTTCTGAACAACTTCAGAGATTTTGAAGAAATAATCATCAAAATTGGTTAAGCTCAATAAAAATAAATACTTTGTAGTCCAAACCACAGGGTGACAACAGCAATATAAATTATTTTTCCATGATGACGGGAGGCTCTGCTTCACGTCACTGATTGATATTCTGTCCCAAGTTTTTGTCAACACCGTCAGACATAAAAAAGTAAGAAAATCAGGCATTATTGTGGTCACCAGAATCTCTGAGGACCCCTGGTTTATTCCTGGTTGTTTGTCACAACCATGATGTGTTGACACCGTCACTGACAATTTCCAACATTTTGATTAAATTCTGTGAAATAAATGTTTATTTAGATTTATTGTAAAGATGTCATGGATCTGAAGAGCGACAATATGGCCGCCTTCTCATAAATCTAATCATAAAATCAGGTCGTTGTTTCGTCAGCTCCATCAGAGTGAGACTCTCACTGAAGTTAATAATCAATTTTAATGCATTTTCCTTAAATGGTTTATTTCTCATGAATCAAGGATTTCTTTTCAATCTGTCAAATGGACTTTATGTTGTTTGAAATCATTTTTATTTTGCTTTTGAGACGCATTTGTCTGTAAAGCTGATTAAAAATGTCAGTGAATAATTTGTCCTTCATTAATCACTGAGCTGCTTTTGACACATTCATAAACAATCTGATCAATAATCCGATGCATTGATCAGTCTTGCTGCTGAAATGTCTTATAGATGCCAAAGGTCATCACTATGGCAATGGCTGCTCAGAGCCCACTGGTTGGTGGGAAGTTGAGTGGAAGGAAAAACTGTGTCTTCCTCAGGTGACCGTGCTGTACTTCGCCAGGAGCGCCGAGCTGACCGGACTGAGGGAGGAGCAGCTAGTTGCCGTGCCAACACCAATCAGCAGCGGGGACCTGTGGGCTCTGTTGCTACGGAAACAGCCCAGGTAGGAAGGCCCAGAATCTCAGGAGGCGTCGCGACGCTCCGACGGCGACACGACGCTCCGACGGCGACACGTCGCTCCGACGGCGACACGACGCTCCGACGGCGACTCGACGCTCCGACGGCGACTGGACGCTCCGACGGCGACTCGACGCTCCGACGGCGACTGGACGCTCCGACGGCGACTCGTCGCTCCGACGGCGACTGGACGCTCCGACGGCGACTGGACGCTCCGACGGCGACTCGACGCTCCGACGGCGACTCGTCGCTCCGACGGCGACGCGACGCTCCGACGGCGACTCGACGCTCCGACGGCGACTCGACGCTCCGACGGCGACTGGACGCTCCGACGGCGACTCGACGCTCCGACGGCGACTGGACGCTCCGACGGCGACTCGACGCTCCGACGGCGACTGGACGCTCCGACGGCGACTCGTCGCTCCCGACGGCGACGCGACGCTCCGACGGCGACTGGACGCTCCGACGGCGACTGGACGCTCCGACGGCGACTCGACGCTCCGACGGCGACTCGACGCTCCGACGGCGACTCGATGCTCCGACGGCGACGACGCTCCGACGGCGACTCGACGCTCCGACGGCGACTGGACGCTCCGACGGCGACTCGACGCTCGACGGCGACTCGACGCTCCGACGGCGACTCGATGCTCCGACGGCGACTCGACGCTCCGACGGCGACTCGACGCTCCGACGGCGACGCGACGCTCCGACGCTCTGACTCGTCATGTTTCTGCAGGCTGGTGGCGCTGCAGGGCCGCGTGGTGCTGGCCGTGCGCCGGCAGTACGTCGCCATCGGCAACCAGCAGCTGCACCTGCAGGACGGCGACGAGGTGGCCGTGGTGCCGCCGCTGAGCGGAGGGTAGAACTGAACCAGAACCAGAACCAGAACCAGAACCAGAACCGGACCGATCTTTGCACATGGAGGAGCCGCCCAGGGACATCTTCAGGCTGAGCCATGATTGGCTGTCGGTACAGGAAGTGGTGGACTCCGTCAGCAGCAGCCGCTGCGGCGCCGTCTCTGTGTTTATAGGTACGACCTTCATCATCCTCCTCTTCCTCAGGGCAGGCCTTCAGTTCTGATCAACCAATTGGATCAATACCAAGCGATCAGAGACCAGGTCTCAACCCGCTGCCCTGTCGGCACTGCTGACCCGTTTCCTGTGCAGGCGCGACCCGGGAGGACCAGGCGGAGGGCAGGAAGGTGATTGGTCTGCAGTACGAGGCGTACGAGGCCATGGTCCAATCGGAGCTGAGCCGGCTGGCGGGGGCCCTGAGGGCCCGCTGGCCCTCGCTGCTGCACGTCTGCATCCACCACCGCCTGGGGTGAGGCTCCGCCCGCCACGCTGTGATGTCATCGACGCCGAGCCTCACCCTTCTCTTCCTCCCTCAGGTGGGTGAAGGTGGGCGAGGCCAGCGTCGTCATGGCGATCTCCTCTCCGCACCGCCAGGACGGCCAGGCCATCCAGCACGCCGTCACCCAGCTCAAGGCCAGCGCCCCCATCTGGAAGAAGGTGGGAACCGGGCCAGAACCGCGCCAGAACCGGGCCCTACACTGACCACTTATCCTTACTTCTGACTGGTTCTGACCGGTTCTGATCCACAGGAGGTCTACGACACCCACCAGTCGTCCTGGAAGGAGAACTCAGAGTGCAGCTGGTCGCAGGGGGAGGAGCTTCTGACTGACCCCTGACTGACTTCTGACCCCAGAGGAACAACTGGTTAATTCAAACTGCATAGTTAAAGTAAAAGCAGCTCCTGCAGCTCATTCCTGATCTGGGTTTCTGGTTAGAGTGGCACTCTGTCCTCATAGAGGAGCTTTGATACACTCAGAGTGGTTTTGTCCTCATTAAGTATTCGCACTGGGCTCCATATATGGTCGTGGCTTCCTGATGTGTTCAATAAAAACGCAAATTCTCATTTTCTATTTTAGTTTTAGTAGGAAACAAAACAACTGAGACATCCTGATGTTTTGGGTCGGTCTGGTTCTGGACCACTATCCAAAGAACTCGAGCAGAACCCAGAGCTGAACCGGGTCCAAACCGGATCTCCAACTCCCTCATGATGGAAGGACAGGAAGTTCTGCTGCAGGTCGGGTCCTGGGACAGGAAGTGATGTCATCAAAGCGTAGAAACTGAATTATGGTGATTGTCCTGAAGCTGGATGGAATCTCAGCAGAACCTCGGACCAGAACCGGAATCCTCAATCTGATCCAGTTGGTTCTGCTCTGGTCTATTGGACCTGATGAGGCCCGGTTCTCTGCTCCAGAACCAGCTAGTGGTTCTCTTTGAACACAGATTCCTGGACCAATCAAAACGGGTCCTACCAGAACCGCAGGAACGGTCGCACTCCCTCCAACAGGAAGTCCAGATTGGGAATCATGCCTCGGCTAAAAAAAAAGCAGCAGCTGATCCAAAAGGTTCTGGTTCTGAATCAACAGCTGGACCCACAGTGACCACCCGGTCCTGACCTCTGATCAGATCACCATGACAACAGACCGGCAGCTGGCTGGAAGCCTTTACTACAGTTAAATGAAGGTCATGACCCCAAGGTCACGACCCCAAGGTCACGACCCCAAGGTCACGACCCCAAGGTCACGTCCGGTTTACTGGACTCTATCCGGCTAACTGGACCTGCTTCAGGAACAGAACCAGAACCCAACCAGAACGCCAGATGAACCATCAAGTATTGAGGTTCTGCTGCTGGTTCTGGTCCCACCGGACCTCTCTGGGTTGGGAGGTTCTGGTTCAGTTTCAGGTGTTGAAACGTTTGTTTCCTGACTGACTCATTCAGTTTGACTCACATGTGGATGCAGTGTTTCCATGATGCCTTCAGGGCCCTCAGGTAAACTCACCTGTTCCATGATGCCTTCAGGGCCCTCAGGTAAACTCACCTGTTCCATGATGCCTTCAGGGCCTCCAGATGTTTGATCGTGAGCTTTAAGCTAATATTAGTAACAGTAAACATAAAACGATTCATTTCTAAGTTGTTCTCTTCTGTCTGATATTGAGTGTTTATATTTTAGATAATTATTCATAATTATTAATTCTAAGAGTTTATATTCGGATTATTGATTCAGAATCAGGTTTGTCCTCTTAAGCAAAATGAAAACATTGAACTTCACTAAAGTAACCTGGTCTAATCTAAACTCTGCTGAACTAAACTGAACCAGTTTAAAGTCAAACCAACCAGCTGAGAATAAAAAGAGGCTTTTATTATTGAACG